TGCTGATGGCTCTACCTCCCCGCAGGGACCAGGTCCTCCGTGTCATGGCCAGCGATGAGGAGCAGATCACCCTGCTCAGGGTGCTGGGCGAGCAGGCGGAGCTGCAGGTGAGCTGCCATGGAGCCCTGAGCACGCCCCGGTGTAAAACAGAGACCCCGGTGACATCCAGGCCTCCCTCCTTCTTTTGACCTCACATCCAATTTTCCTTCCCATTTTGGATACGTATAATTTATAGCCCTATAAATGTAATATTTAGCTTAGGGCACCTTGAGCCTTCCTGTTTCAGACAAAGCGGGAACACCCCGGCCAGTTTAGCTTAGAGGGCTCAAGGTTTAGCACCTTGAGCCCTCCTGTTTCAGACAAAGCGGGAACACCCCGGCCACTGCAGCATCGTTGTTCCCAGGCTGAGTATTCAGGTCTCAAATGTCACTGCACTTTTTTTGGCTTGAATTACGACACAACTCTGTTCCCACTGCGTTTGCTCTGGTTGCTTTGAGGGGTAAATCCCGGTGAAGAATTTAAGCGGTAGGAGAGAGAGATGGGTGGTGGGAAACAGCATCTGCACAGCAAAGCTGATTTAAGGAGATACCTCTACCGAATTAAAGAGCAAAACCAGCACGCAGTGACCCCGGCCTCCCTGTGTCTGCCCAAATCACAAATACTCATCATGCAAAGGGACGTTTGCAGCCAAAAAGCTGCTTGGGCTGAAACATATTTCTGTAGAAGCTCCACTGAGTGAGGTAAAGGGACCCTGACCCATCCTGGTACCCGTGTGTGTCCCAAAACTTGTCCAAAAACCTTTTTAGATCCTTCATGGGAAACTCTTATGAGACCGCTTTTGGTGCTGGGGAGCTCAGCGGCTGAGCACCAGCATGGGATGAAGCTGAACTTGCTCCTCTCCTCCACACCAGGTTGACTTTTGGCGTCACCCCACCAGCCCCAGCCACCCAGCCGACCTGCGGGTGCCCTTCCCCAACCTCCAAGCAGTCAAAATCTTCCTGGAGTCCAATAGCATTTCCTACAGCATCATGATTGAGGATGTGCAGGTAAGGACTGCGGTGGGAAGTGGGATGAGCTCAGTCCCAACAAAAGGTCCAAGAAGTTGGAAACCATCAGTAGATGGAAGAAAAAACCCAACCACCCAACATGTTTTTTTTTCCCCCCTCCTAAACAGAAATTATTGGATGAGGAAAAGAAAACCATGACAAAGTCCAGGAGGATAGAGAGAAGCACCAGCACGTTCAATTTTGCCTCCTACCACACACTAGACGAGGTACTTTGCTCTGCAGTGCATTTGTTTCATCTTGCTGGGGTCATGCTCGGCCCATGCCATAGTTACATCCATGTGGTGACATTTGTAGTGGCGGCGAGACCCCCTGGGACGTGGCTCTCTTCTTTGGGCAGAGGTTTTAGCCGAGCCAGGAGACCGGGCATAGAATTATAGAATCACAGAATGGTTTGGGTTGGCAAAGCCCTTGAAGCTCCCCC